ATATATATATATATATATATATATATATATATATATATATATATATATATATATATATATATATATATATATATATACATATATATATATATATATATATATATATATATATATATATATATATATATATATATATATATATATATATATATATATATATATATATATATATATAACATCGATCTTCTCGTTCTACGACTGATTAGGTCTGGTGAACTTTGCAAGAGATAAGACTCAACAGAAGAAAAGTTACTTCGAAGACCATGAATATTGGTGAATGATAGGTTTAGCGAACTTGGTGATGACTGTGGTTTTTTGTGTTTTATAGTTTTTGTTACTTTATTCATTTTTAAATTTGTTAAAGATTCGAAACATAGATAGTACTCAGTACACTGTTTTATAGCTCAAGCATTTGCCTCATTTCCACTAATAAACCCTAAGCTGTAACAAAGGGCTCCAATGTGACTGGAAACAATGTATTATAATACATCTGCGCCAGCCTAAGAGATGAAGAAGGGGTGCAAGGCTGGTCAACAGATAGAATCTGTTTACCCCTTAAGTCTTTGCCTAGGAGGCCTTCTACAAGACAGCAGCCGGATGCATGTAACATCTGCCCAAGATGAGTATTTTTATCGAGACACCATCTCTAGCCTTTACTCAACCAAGAGCCCCAAAGCAGGGGGTGTTTTATGTTGGAGTTTGCATCTCTTAACCTTTGCCTAAAAAGACATATCCTACAAGGCAGCAGGACATGAAGCAGATTGTACTGGGTTACATGTTACCAGTAGCAGGATAAACCTGACCTGACATGTATTTATATATATATATATATATATATATATATATATATATATATACATATATATATATATATATATATATATATATATATATATATATATATATATATATATATATATATATATATATATATATATATATATATATATATATATTTATATATATATATATATATATATATATATATATATATATATATATATATATATATATATATATATATATATATATATATATATATATATATGTATACATATATATATATCACGGGTACCCTGAAGGTGACCTAAGACCTTATATCAAGTCCCATGAAATTTTTTTTTTGTTTTTGAAAGTAGTACATTTGTACATTCTGAAACTATCAAAATTTAAATCATTTGTTGGTAGCTTTTTTAGAAAACTTAGTAAGAAGTTTTATAAATAACGATGTTTTCGTATTAAAATAATACTTTCCCGTCAGCCATTATAGTTGTTTACTTTCTGCAATTGCAGCAGCGTGATTGGCTTTAATAATATTTATTAGTTTCCGATTGGCTTATAGTTGTTGTTGCTTTAAAAGACTTTAACAATATTTATAAACACATTTTAGCATTAACAGCGATTTTATTTAATTAATTAAGTAAAATACTTATATTGATTTGAATTTAAAAGCTGATTAAAAAATATAGGAACTATTTCTCAATAATAGAAAAGAAATGCCATACTTTGCTAAAGATCATAACGAGTTTTTAAAATGCTTTTGCATATGCTGTATGAAAAAAAGTAATGATTTAAGATGCATTCAAACCAAATGCAATAAACCAGGTCCAAAACAAGCAAAAAATTATGAAAATCTTATCAAGAGATTTTTTTGGGAAAACTACTCTGTTGAAAACCCGGATCTGCCTAAAATGTTATGTTCTAATTGCAGAAAAAATCTAGTGAGTTTAGAAAAAACAGATTCAAAAAGATTTTTATTCAAGGTTCGACCTAAGTACGAAGGTAAGTTTTATAAGAAAATAAGCCAATAAAAACCAATTATGTTTTGCATTATTATTGTTTTTCTTATAAACAATATTTTGTTTGCACTAAAAAAATAACTTTTTATTACTTTTAGGTCTTAATACTAGAGTTATTCGAGGTGGGAAATGTGAGTGTTTTATTTGTGTTAATGGGCGTAAAAATGGTACTGAAACAGCAACTCTTCCACCAATGGTATCTTGTGAAACTAATGCAGATATTGATCAAAGTCACAGTAATTTGAATCTTTCGACTACCAATGAAAATCTTGTTCTTTGCAGAAGTTGTTTTCAACAAATAGGAAAAGGTATTAAACATCCTTGCACAAAGTTAGCTAAGCAAAGGAATTTGATGCATATTGTACAATCAACCTCACCTGTTACTAAAGAAAAGGTTTTATCCACCACAATCAACAATTTAGTAACCCATGATGCAAAAATAACATTGAACACCTTTGGCCCTAAGAAGCTTGTTGTTTCTATTGGAGTAGTTGAACCGAAAACACCGTACTTTTCACATTCAAAACTGAAACAACTACAGAGCAAACTTCATACAAGGTATAGATTGTCTACTACTAAATTCAAGAAATATAATTTATTTTAAAAAATCATTTACTGTTTTTATCATTGTATCAAATTTACTAGTGACAATAAGATGTTAGAAATTGCCAGATTTATACGAGTGAATGGAGGAAGAAAATCTGTTGAGCCTTGTTATTCTGAAAAGTTAACCGAAGAAAACAAAAATCTATTGTTTTTGTTTGATGCTGAGCTTATGCTGATCCAGTCAAATACTGGAGATAATAAAAAAGTGGTATAACTAAATATATATATATATATATATATATATATATATATATATATATATATATATATATATATATATATATATATATATATATATTATATAGTGTTTATAAATATATTTATATATATATATATATAGTGTTTTACTTTAACTAAAGATTTTCAGTTTCTTAAAAAGCTCTATAAAAATAATATATTATAATAAAATATTATTCTATGCAACATTTTAATTTTATATTTTTGTATTTGATTAATTTGAAAGTTGATAATTTAAAATAAATCATCATCCTTGGACTTAAAGTTGTTTTGTAATTATTTAGTGTATTGAAAGAACTATTCCTGGTGTAATTTGCAATAATGTTGATGAGTTTGTTGCAACAGTTTTGCGACGTAGATCTCTTGAACCAGAGAATGTTGATGTTAAGATTGGGGTAGATGGAGGGCAAGGCTATCTTAAGGTTACTTTATCAATCACATTAAAGCCAGAGCTTGAAGTACATTCAATTGAAAAGAAAAGAGTGAAATATTCTGATGAGTATGGATTTAAAGAATTCAAGTATACTAGTGTTCACAAAACTTTAGTTTTGGCGGTATTACCCTCTATTGATGAAAATTATGCAAACATAAAAATGTTGTTGGATAAATTAAAACTTAATTCTCTGGATTACTCTATTTCAGAAGATCTAAAGGTTCTTCTTCTGATGGTTGGAAAGCAGTCAGCAGCTTCGAAGCATCCTTGCCCATTTTGTGAAACAGAATCGCCAAATATGCTGAGAGCTAAGTCATATTCTCTAACTTCTCTGTGTGAGTGGTGTAACAAATGGATGGCTGCAGGAGGAAACATTGCAAAAGCTAAAAATTTTAGTAACGTAGTTAATCCTCCTTTATTGACTGGAAATGTAACAAAGAAGATCTTAGAAATTGTTAATATACCAGGCTTACATATTTTGCTAGGCATAGTAGACAAGTTACTCAAAATAATTGAAAAAAACTTGTTTGAGGACACTAATCAAGGATTTAATTTTGTAAATAGTTATCTATCTACAATTAATCTTGCCAGAGTACCTTATCAAGGTAAACACAGGTTAGAAGGAAATGCATCCAACAAGTTTTTAAAAAAACTTGATTGCTTTCAAATATATCTGGATGAGCACAATATTATTGGTGGCAAATATATGAAAGCTTTGAGAGACTTTAGCAATGTTGTTCACGGGTGTTTTGGGAAAATATTAAATCCAAACTACTCTGATTATATTAAAAGATTTTCACAAAGTTTCAGAGATCTTGGTTCAAACATTCCTCTTAAAGTTCATATAGTGGAGCATCATGTTGAAGAGTTTATTGTTATGAAAGGAGGAAAGTTTGGTAGGTGCATATTTAGAAAATTAACTGATAACTTTTTAAATTTTAACATATAAAAATAATAATATTAAATATTTTGAAGAAGTTTAAAGAAGTCTTGGGAAGAGCTGTCTGTGTGTACAACACAATGCATTTATAGTTAAATGTAGTATTTTTTGTTAGTAAATATTTCCTTTTTTTTTTTTATAAATAAAACTATTTTATTTAGAATTCTTTCATTACAAATCCAAAGATGATTCTATATGGGCATTGTATTCCTGTAGACCTACATTATCCTCTTCAATAAAAAAGAAAGCTAACTTTTAAGAAGTGATAAATTAGTCAATGTTCTGACTAGAATGCCCAAATTATTATCAGAATTTATATCAAAATACGATCCTCAAATTGTCAATCCACTAGATCAAACAACCAAACAAATTATATACAGCTATTTAATCCACTTGCAGGGGTCTTAGGGCGAGTCAGAGGGGCATTAATCTCTAGTTAAAACATGTCTTAAAGCTTAGATTTCTCAAAAAGCTACCAAAAAATGATTTACTTTTTAGTAGTTTTGGAATGTGCTCATGGACTACTTTCAAAATCAAAAAAAAAATTTCATGGGATATGATATAAGGTCTTAGGTCACCTTCAGGGTACCTGTGATATATATATATATATATATATATATATATATATATATATATATATATATATATATATATATATATATAAAATATATAAAAAATAAAAATAAATATATATATATATATATATATATATATATATATATATATATTTATTTTTATTTTTTTATTATTATAAATTTAAGAAAATAATACAAAGAAAATAAATAAATACAAAGTTACTATTAACAAATAAATCTTTCAAATAATATTTCTAATCCCTAAAAATTAGAAAGCCTATATTACATTGTAATGCTAGAATTAATTAAGCAATTATTATAATTAAACCATTTTTACTAATGCACCAATAGAAATTACAGATTAAAACATGTGATTTAACTGCTAATAGCAATTATAAATTAAAACATACGTGATTTTACACGTGCTTGTCGAATTCGAATTCCATTAACAATCTTAGTATTAAGATCATTTATGAAGATTTTTTCATCAATATTTTTGTTACTCCATGGTTCAGGAAAAACTTGAAGGAAAAAAAACGAGTTCAACCATAGCCAGAAGTCATTTTTGGATCGAAGCTAAAAAAAACAACATTTCTGAACTAGTTCTCATTTGAAATGAGCTTTCATATGAGCAAAATAAGTATTTAAAATTTTTAAAATTAAAAAAAAAAAAGGAAACTTTAATAAATTTGTGTACCTGTTTTAAAACCTGATGTTGCTTAGTGGAGGAAGAGTCTGATCTTAGATTAAAAAGAGACTCTATGTCATTTGTTTGTGTAAATGAATAGTTACCATGAGATGCATAAGCCAAATAAAATACTAACAGTGCAAAAATAAAATAAAACAAAAGTTCTCGTACAAGTGAATATAACCTTAACTTATGCATACGACTTTCTTTAATTGATTCAATCAAATGTTCATCTGGTGGACTGATACTTAACTCAACATGCTCGAAGATGGATAACCGCCTATGAAAGTTATGCAGCCAATTTTCATTGTGAGCAAGTATTTTTGCTAAATAAAAAGTTCTCAATCAATTGTGTGCCCAGATTAGAAGTTTATTTTATTTTGCTCTTGTTAGGCACAATAATTGTTAAAAATCTGTTTATAAAAGCAAACAGTTAACCTTAGACATTAATTGAATCAGCACTAATACTTTGGTCATAAATTAATCATACAATCATAATACATACCTTGGTCATCAGCAAAATACTTTTGTGTGTCATCAATCTTTTTTATTACAAGAGCTGTTATTATTGCAATGATAAAAATTTTTATGGGTTGCATTACAAATACATCATTAACCTAAAAAAAAGTATAGGTTGTTTATATGTACATATATACATATGTTTGTTTATATGCATATACATATTGTTTATATGTATGTATGCACATATAAACAATATGTATATACATATATGTAATATATTATTTATTATCATATTATTATTACTATTATTATTGTTATTATTATTATTAGATTCCAAGGAAAAAAACCAACACAACACATCACACAAGCAAAACACAAGTACACCTTCTGTTATAAGTCTATTTTAATATACAGTTGGAAAAATAAGTATCAGAACAAAACATTTTATTATGGAAAATAAACTTTGTCAAATTATTTCAGAAAAAAATAACTTTATAAAAATAAAAAAAAAGATTACTCTGAAAAAAAATTTAATTATGAATTAAATATGCAAAAAAAATATCAATAATAATATTTAATTGATAAAAAAATAAGATACACATAATAAAATAAAATGCAATTTTTTAGCATTAAATAAGTATCCGAACAAAATTATAAAGATTAAGGCTTAAAGATTAACTCTTCTCTGAGTAATTATTTTATGACTTTTTAATATTGAGCTGGACGGCCTTTAGCTTTTATGACATCTGCAAGTCAACATGGCATCAATTCAACTAATTTCTTTGTCATATTTGAGTTGATATCAGCCCAAGCATCTTGGAGCATGATCTTTAGCTCTTCTTTTCTTTTTAGACATTGTGTGGCTCATTTTTTTATCCAGAATAGCCCAGAGATGTTCAATTGGATTGAGATCTGGACTTTGGCTTGCCGTTCAAGTAACTCAATTGCTTTTGGATAAAAAACTCTTGCTTTCTATGACATATGTTTAGGGTCCTATATATCTTCTTGTTGGAAGATAAAATGTTTTCCTAATCAGAGTTTTTTAGTTAAAATTTTTTATTTAGAATGTTAACCTCAGAGTCCATAATTCCATCAATAAACTCCAGTTTTCCTGCTCAGTTCCAAGCCATCGATTATTAAAAATAACTTGTTGTAAAACAACAATATTTCTAAAACTATTGCTTTAAAACTTTTTTTAATAATCAATTTCAAAACTTCGTTTGCAAAACAACATGTTTGGATAACTATTTTTGGTTGAAGTTTTAACACTCCTTTGGGAATCGTTAAATTTTAGCAATGCAATTAATTGACATAGATTGATACATACATGTATATATATATATATATATATATATATATATATATATATATATATATATATATATATACATATATATATATATATATATATATATATATATATATATATATATATATATACATATATATATATATATATGTATATATATATATATATATATATATATATATATATATATATATATATATATACATATATATATATATATATATATATATATATATATATATATATATATATATGTATATATATATATATATATATATATATATATATATATATATATATATATATATATATATATATATATATGATACATACATGTATATATATATATATATATATATATATATATATATATATATATATATATATATATATATATATATATATTGTATATATTAGATTACATTATATATTAGCCACATTGTTATACATATATAACAATGTGGCTAAAACTAAAAACAGAACAAACAAATTTATATATGTTTTAATTTGCTTAAAAATAAAGTCTTACCATTGATAGTATTACGCTTATTAACCAATCTAAAGACTTCTTATTTCCAAAAGACATTCCATATAACAAAACAACACAACTGCATGAGAGAATTGCAATAACACAAAAAGACCATGTGACATACTTTGCCCAATAAGGTAAGTAAAAAACTTTTTTTTTTTGGATTTCTTTCTTGAAATTATTCTCATCAAATGTTGAACAAGTATTGGATTCTATATCTTAATATTGATAAAAAAAAGTTATAACATTTTTTTTTTTAATTGTTTAAATTTACAACTAAATTTTTTTACCTAAACTTGTAAATAATTCCAAACATTTAGGTAAAAAAAAAAAAAAAAAAAAAAACTAAAGGCAAGAATTTGTGATAAAAAAAACCCCTCATTCTAATTTGCTATTTTTTATAACTTATAGGTTTTTCAATAATTTTTTTTTTTTCATTTATCAATTTCAAACTTTGATTGCATGTTGATAGCATGTTGATACTAGAAGACACTAGAAAAATTTACTTAAAAAAAGAACAGTTTACTGCTTCACAACTAACAAACTAATCTGCAAGACTAACATTGTTTTGTCCCTGAAAAAGTTGCATTAGAAATCTACTGGAAAGTCTCCACTTTGCCACAAAATGCTTAGCAAATAAAATATCACTTAACATTCTATATCTCAACTTTGCTAAAGTCTTTGGCAAAGTGCACCATAAGAGTCTACTCTATAAACTTATAAAATACAGAACCAGTGAAAGTACACTGGATTGAGATCCATTCTAATAAACGCCAAGGAGTAGTTCTGGGTAAAAAAGTTTCATGTTGGACTGAAGTAACAAGTTGTATATAACAAAGTTCAGCAACACTATTTGCAATATTTATAATAATTAGTTATAATAAAAATTCAATGGAGAATAACAAAATTCTATCATGCCTTAAAAAAATGTATTTATAAATGCAGACTCAAGATTCTTAATTTTACATCCCTAGATAAAAAAATATATAAGAAAAGGCTTAATCCATTTTTAAAAATGGAAGTGGTAAACTTATGTGTGGATTCACAATAAAACCAACTAAGTGCAGATTATTGAAACTAAGATAAGAAATAATTACAAACTGTTATCAAAAAAAATAATTTTTTTATCAACTGCATCAGTTTGGAACAAGCTCCCTGACTACATTTTTAATTTCAAGTCAACTAACTAGTTCAAGAACAAGCTGGATTTGCACCAGAAGCTAATATAGCATCAAATTAACTATTAAAGTGTTTTATGCTGGAAGTGGATGTTAACTAACATTACTAAATATTAAAATTATAAATAAAAATACAACTAACAAAAAAATTACAAACAATTTTACCTATAAAAAAATTGTTTATAATTAAATTTAATGATACCATTTATTAATTATAAATTTTATGAATAATTATGATAATTTATTTACTATTTTAATTTAAATTAATAAAATCATCTCCAGCAAGATACACCTGGTCCAAGCAAGACTTTAGACATAATAGTCAAATTGCAGAGTTCAAATTAAAATCTGGGATGTTTTAAAATTAAGTTAGTCCATCTAGAACACAACCTGAAAAAGAATTCAACTCAAATTTTTCAACCAAAGGACAATCCAAAATAAAAGTGAAGCTTTACTGAATCAAAAAAGTTGTAAATTAGGCAATACAACAAATAATGTAAAAAAAAAAAAGTAGAAAAGGTTCTCATCAGAAAAGAAAATTCTCATAAATTTTTTTCTAGCTTATTATACCACTAACTAATCTATATTAAAATTTATATTGTAAATCTTGTTTAACAATGTAAATAGTTTTAATTTTTTCATTAATAAACAATAAAATTTTTTTTATTGTTCAATTTTTTTGCATTAATATATTAAAAATTGTATTATAAAAAAAATTTTACCTTTTTTTTTCAAAGCAAACTTGTAATATGGATTTATCAAATGAAACACATGAACAAAAATTATTTCTACTGGAACTGTAATACATGCAGAAATTAATGCAACATAAATCTAAAAAAAGATTTTATTAAAAAAAAAATGACATCATAAACATCATAAAAAATACAAAAACTTCCAACATAAAATGAAACTTTTGCCGCTTCATGTAATAAAACACGAAGGGGTGATAGTGTAGCAGTAGAGTGCTTTCTTTGTAAGCAAGAAGAGTTTGATGTCCATGGTAGTACTGCATTTGAGTTTACCATGTCCATGGTAGTACTGCATTTGAATTGTTTCTCTACACAGTGGTTTTGGTCATAAAGAACAAAACCACTGTGTAGAGAATTCAAATTTTTTGTGTCAAATTTTTGTGTTTTAGAGTTAAAGGATTCAGAGATAACTTAAAATAATAATAATAGTGAAAAGACTCTAGGTGACCCCCTTGACCTGAGGGAGGTAAAGAAAGTAGAAAAACTAAATGCAAAAACATCAAACACAAATCAAGAAAAGCACAGATTTAAAAAGAATGTTATATTAGTAAATGGTGGATTAGATATTTAAACTTTTCACTCAGTATGCCTAACCACTGCACCACCATTTGCATTTTAATGGTATTTTTAGTATACCATTATAATTTGTAGCATGTTGATTGATGTTTGTTGTATCAACTTTTTAAACCATGTTGATCAATGTTTGTTGTATCAACTTTTTAAACCATCAGTTATATCATAATTTACTTTACCTAGCAATTACAATTAAAGAATAGTAAAGAATAATAATCGGATGTGTGGGATGTTCAAACTATAAATTGATTGAGTATATATGAAATGCATGCAACTTTAAAGCTAACAAAAATTTTATTAAACAGCCAAAATGTAGAACAAGAAAATTAAAATTAAAAAATTCAAAATTCAAAAACGCATAAACTTAATGTGGTAAACTTTAATTTTAAACAACAATAAAGTTTAACATTACATTTAATAAAGTTCCAAGCATAAAGCATACTTTATGGATAATATTTTTCTAAAAATTTCAATATTAAATAGGATTAAAGAAAAAATTTTAATGGCATAGGACTTAGATGCCAAGATGCTGTAATAGATGCAAAGATGCTGTAATAAACTGAATATACTTTTAATTAATAAAAAATATGAAAAGAATTAAACAATTAAAAATAAAGTTTATGTTTGGGTTAGCAATATTTGTTATATACATATTATTCCTATTATATTTTATTATATTTATATTGTATTAACTATTTAATATTATGTTTATAATTTATTCACACTTGATGACTTTAAAAAAAAAAAAATAGTATGAACCAGGGGTGTTGAGTGGTAAATAAAAAGTACTGACTCCGGCTCCAGTTGTTAAAATTTTTTGAGTATGACTCCGACTCCAACTCCCAAGCAAAATTTTTGAAAAATTCTTTGAACTTTTTAAAAAATATTACGCGATAAGTTGAAAAAATTTTTTTTCTGACAAATTCATGAAAAGTCCTTTGAGGTTTAGTATGAATATAAGGTTAATTGAATATTTGTACATGCACGTGCAATACCGAGAAGTTTTACTATTGGAGTTGGATTTTTTTTAGCAACTTCGACTAAAAATGTTGCAACTCTGCGACTCCGACTCCAACTCCGACTCCACAGCCCTGCTATGAACAGCATTTGTATTTACTTGGAATGGAAAAATTTTTTTTTTTTCATAAAGTATATGAAGCAATAATAAATTCATTATTATTTTCACTATGAGAATCAATGCCAAAAAGGCACTGATTCTCATAGTGAAAATAATAATAAATTTAGTATTGCTTCATATACACACCTTGTGGAAATAACTAAGACTGGAAACAATATTAAACCTAAAATTTTGGTACTTGTGTCCCATGTATGGCTTTAATGAAATTTTTTTTTTTTTCATAAGATCTCAAACTTGGTTAAAATTAATCACAGATTTAAAATTTAATACAAAAATCTCTTCTCATTAAAAAGTTATTATTGCTAATAGTTTATTATTCCCCAATTAACTCCAAAAAATAACTTTAAAAGATCACATTTTTTAAACGGCATATTTATTTGGAATGATATTTAAAATTTGTTTATAAATTTTGATTCTAATAAACATGAAAAGAAAAAAAAGTTCAAAATTGTTTAAGGGTACATTAGGGACGTATTCTTAGAGTTTTAATATGATTAGGTCCAATCAATTGGACACAATTGGAAAAAAGATTTCAGTTTTTTTGTTGAGGTTTTTAGTAATATCTAACATAACAAGTTAATAATAACTGTTTCATTTTTTAGAAATTAACTTTTCACAATAAATTATATGTATAGTTGTATGACAGTTGTAGGTAACAATAGTTTTATGAAAATATTCTGAATAATTTTTGTGACATTTGAATACCTAGTAACCATTTTACCAGGGCTGAGTAAAATTATGATGAAAAATTCAGAGGCTTGTTTGTTCCTTTGTGGATAATTACTTGAAGGAATTTTTTAAAAAAGTTCTTCTGTATTTTATAGCAAAGCTATAACATACAGAAGTTATAGTTTATAAAATGTTACATGTTTTACTTCTACAAACTGTTTTAATTTGTGTTAAATCAAAATCATTCTTTATTGCTAAAATATTTAAAATATTAAAAAGCACTTTTAGTTTTAACAAATTTTGATTTTTATGCATTATTGTAATTTGTGCTTGTAATATCGTTAGTTGTGCTTTTAAAGTTTAAATATTAGTAATTATTTCACCTTTGAAATGTCGTATTCAAGTCACAGTCAAAGTAGGAGTAAAGTTTGTTTAATTTGCTTTAAAAAAAGGAAAAAATTCATGTAAAATACAAGAAGGAAGTGTAGTTTTATTGAGAATTAAAAAAATATTTCATTGACAATATTAATTTAAACGATAACCGTTTTCCAAATGGAATTTGTGGAAGTTGTCGAACTAATTTAGTAAAAATGGAAAAAGGTAACACCAATATAGTTTTATGTAAACCATTTGATTTCTCTAAGATCAAAGAAACCATTCTTACTAGAAACCAACAGTTTTGTCAATGTGAAATTTGTCTTATTGCTAGAAGTAATTTAATATGTGGATCAAATATAGAAAAAAGAGGAAGACCAAAACTCAACATGAAAGTTTTACCCTCTCCTTAGACAAGTTAAAGTTTGTAAAAGATGTTTATATGTTATTGGACCAGGATTAGCCCACACCTGTTGTATTACAAAGAGAAGGGAAAACCTAATGAAGCAACTAGATAAAGGTAAAAAAAAAACATTAATATTAATATTATATTATTATAAAAATATTATTATAAAAAATATAAATTATTAAGTTCCTATTAAAACTAAATTAAAATAATAAATCCAAAGTAATAAAAAATTTCATATTGTAGTTTTTTAGTTTTTTAATTTAGACAAAAAAAGGGGCCGAATTGCAATGTTCCAAAACACTTTTACAAAAGTTTGAAAAACAAGGCAATTTAATTAAGGTTGGGACATGCAGAACTTCAATTAGTATACAAAGACCAAAAACCTCTTCCAAAGCTTTGTTTACCCATTAACCGATACATACAAGTCAAGTGAACAAATTAATAAAATGCATGTGGTCTCAGTAACACAAAAGGGGCTAAAGTTTTAAGTATTTTAAGAAGTTGGAAAGATCGCAAATCATTTGAAAAAAAAATACAAGAAACAAACTGATTGAAGACAACGCCATTTTTTATGAATACTTTGACATAAGATCTGTTAAATTTAATATGGTGAAAAGTTGATGGCTTTTTGCAAAAATATTATAGGACTGGAGAAAAATACTGTCAAAAAAAGTGAACCTATTTTAAAAGTTGGCATTGATGGAGGAGCTAGATTTTTGAAAATTTGTTTAAATATCTTAGACCGTTACGAGGTAAACAAATTTAGTTATGATGAAGGCATATGTAAAAAAAAAATACAAATATGGTGGGGTTAACAAACTCATTATTATTGCACTTGTAGAAAATTTGCAAGAATCTTATGCAAATATGAAAATAATATTTGATTTTATTAATTTAAACAGTATTAAATATTTTTGTGTTTTCGATATGAAGTTGGTAAATATTTATTTTGGAACAGAAACTGCAGACTCAACTAATCCTTGCCCTTGGTGTATAGCTAGCAAAAACGATTTTCAAAATTTTGAACTTCAAGGTGAACATAGAATGCTTGGAATGATAAGATCATCAGCTAATAATTACAAAAATGCAGAAATAAAATTAAAAAATCAAATAACTATGTAGACCAATCAATTATCAACTTACCAGATGAAATAAAGGTTATAAAGGTTCTTGCTACACCTTCTCAGTGGAAACACCAACAAACTTTTTAATTATCTTTATTCGTATACAAAATCTAAAGAGTTTAATTTTAAAGCAGAGGAGTGGAATGAAAAGCTAGGCTTTAAAAGACCAAGGCTTCATGGTGGGCAATTTAAGGGAGGACAATGTTCAAAACTTGATATAGATATTTTGAACAATTTGATCAAATCTTTTTCAATAGATAATGATGAAAAATTATGAACAACTTTCTTTCATACTACAGGCATTTAAATTCTTGAGAGAACTTAAAATTGTTTAGCAATGACTTTAGACCTTACTTTGAAATGTAAAATTATCAAGAAGCCTACTATAAACTTGGATTAAAAGTATCACCTAAAATACATGCTTTAGTAAAACATAAAGTAAATTTTTAAAAATGATGTCAAGTGATTATCTAAACAAAAGTCTAGGCTATTGGAGCAAACAAGTCTCTGAATCTGTTCATCAAAATTTTACACAGCTCTGGGAAAACTGTTACAATGTATTCAAATATCACAAAAATTACTCGAAAAAGATTGCATAAAGCTATTGTTTCATATAACTCTCATCATACTTTCTTTTCTAAAAGTCTTATTGATTAATGATATATATAATTTATTGCAAAAAGTTAGTTTGTAAAATATGAAACAGTTATTATTAACTTTTTATGTTAAATATCACTAAAAACCTCAACAACTAAAAACTGAAATCTCCTTTTTGTTTGTGTTAGAGTGATCAGACCCAATCATATTGAAACTCTAAGAACACGCCCCTAACCTAATGCCCTTAAAATGTTTTATAACTTTTTTTTCTTTTCATGTCTTTTAGAATCAAAATTTATAAACAAATTTTTAATATCATTCCAAATAAATATGCCATTAAAAAATTGTGATCTTTTAAAGTTATTTTTTGGAGTTAATTGGGGAATAATAAACTATAAGCAATAATAATTTTTTAATGAGAAGAGATTTTTGTATGAAATTTTAAATCTGTTGATTAATTTTAACCAAGTTTAAGATATTATAAAAAAAAAATTTTTTTTATTTAAGCCATACATGGGACACAAATACCAAAATTTTAGGTTTAATATTGTTTCCAGTCTTTGATCGTTGCAACTTTTTCTAAAACATTCTTATTTTGTATTTGTATGATTATTACAAAATTTTATGCAAGCACTATTTCTGGAAGTTATCTATCTTAAACACTAAGAATTCTGGACCAGCTTGATTAACCCCCTTTTATTTTTTTAGATATTGACACAATACTTTCAAAATCTAGGTCATAATAGAACAAGGTACAGTGGTTTTAAAAATGTAATCCATTTCTGGTTTACTTTTTTTTTTTCGTAAGAAATATTTCCACTAGGGAGAATATACCTAATAAAATCTTTTTTTTAAAATAAAATACTTTAATGAAATATAAAAAGTTATTATGATATGTAAACAAACCTGTTGCCATGAAAAATTTATTCCCAATACTTTGTTATTAATTGCTGGATCATTTGAAACTTTGCCATAAAACATGGTACTAGCTGTCATTTGAACAACAACTAATAAAACAGCAACAGATAATCGTTCACAACGATTAAAAATACTTCTTGGTGGACGAGTAAAAATAGAGAACCACAAATGTTTTTCAAAAAAATCATTTCGCACTCTTGTTGTAAACTTATAATTAAAATGTGTCAACTCATCAGAAGCTGATACTGGTATTGTAACATCTAATAAGCAATCACCTTTGTCAATTGCAACCCAACATTTTGCCATAAAATAATATCGTTTATCTGTTTGTAGGTCAAGAACTTCAACATTTCTTAAACAAAATTTTGTAAAAAAATTAATTGCATGCAAAATATGCATCTTGGCTGCTATTCTTTATAATGATATTATGGAGATAATATCATTACTTGAATTATAATTTACCTCAAGTACCAACCACCACCTCTATTATCATGCCAAAGTCGAATATAAGTTAGATCACCCAAACAGTTTGGTGTTGTTAATATGAAAGAGTCAGAAGATGATCTTTGAAAACATTGTCGTTCAAAATCAATTAGTCTGTGTGCCTTTGTTTTTGCAATATCTCCTATAAAATACTTTAAAATAAGCACAAAAAAGGAGAAAAAAGAGAAACAAAAACAAAAATACATAACATAAATATGTAACAAATGACAAAACTTGAATTTAAAAAAATAAAACAAGATGTTGCATGATGATTATATTGGTGATGATTATGATGATGATGATGATGATGATGATGATGATGATGATGATGACACATCCATGGTTTTACATGTGTGGTTTTACAAAATTTGTGATTTGATTATATTCTTTTTAAAAAACTATGTAGAAAAAAGCTAGCATTTTACAAATCTAATAAAATAGACATGATTTTTCAAAATATTTAGATAAATTTGTAATAAAACCATGCTCAATTTACCAAAAATTTATATTTTTACTTTGTGTTTGATAAAAAAACTGACCACTAATTTGAAAGCAAACTTTTATATAAATGCAATGTACTGCTATAAATGCCAAGATAATTTTTTAATGATGTTTACACAAGTAACATTTTAGTTAGGAAAAATTTATTGGTCTCCTTCCACCAACCTTAAACTAATTAGCATTTATTACTTAAATAATGAGGGTTACCTTTTTTAAATAACTAATATGCTTCACTAATAATTTGATAATTCATTGTCAAGTGTCTTTTTTGTAATATTTTATTTCACTCATTAATTTTTACAACAATAGTAGGAACAGAAGAGGCTCTTTACAATAACTATACGTAAGACAACTTACCTAAAAGAAGGAAAAATCTAATATAAAAACCCTTATTTGTGAGGGTGCGAGGAGCTTGTAAAATGGTTTTCTAGTGATAGTATCACAATATAAATATAAAAATAAAAAACAGGTAAGCCCTAGAATAGGTATCCAGTTGTAAAAATTGCTTCAGCCTGAATCCATACTTTCATACTATAAAATGCAAATGACATTAAGAAAATTGACTCAAACCACACAAATGTAAAACTGTGGATGCTAAGATGAAAAAAATAAAATATCTTTATCCCTATACCCAGCTAGCACACATACATAAGTAAAATTTTAGAACAATGTTGTAAGTTACATAGCAAAACATCGATCAAAATGTTGTTTTTATATCATTTTGGTTACAGATGCAACGCCACTAACAACAAAAGCCAAACATTGGCAACATTTTAAAGTGAATTTTTATGTTAATTCAACATTGCATTTTTTAGTTGGCTTAATGTTTTCTAAATTTGATTTTGCTATTATTTTTGTGTAAAGTTTTATAATAACTAGCAAAAAGTCAGAAATGGTGAAACTTACGACAACTTGTAAATAATTATATTTATTATTCAAATTTGCACTCATTAATTATGTTTGTTTTGCTTGTTTGATATTTTAATATTTATTCAATATATATAATAATGCACTTGCAATGTTGGGTTGTTACATTGTGTCAACATTGATTCATATAAGTTGAATCAATGTTGGGATATATATATATATGTATATATATATATATATATATATATATATATATATATATATATATATATATATATATATATATATATATATATATATATATGTATATATATATATATATATATATATATATATATATATATATATATATATATATATATATATATATATATATATATATATATATATATATATATATATATATATATATTATATATATATATATATATATATATATATGTATTATGTTAGTGTATTCTACAAAGAGAGAACTCAATGTTTGTAAAGAAGAAAGCAATAATAAATAGTAAAAACACTTATCTAATTTTTATTTTCTTCTACAACTTGTTTCTCCATCAGTAGGATCATCAGGAAAAATGTGTAAACATCAAAAAATTCAAATTATAGAAAAATTATTTTACAGGAAGTTGGGAATTTATATATATATATATATATATATATATATATATATATATATATATATATATATATATATATTATATATATTAATGTACCTGCCAAAATATATTGTTTTTTCTAAAAATATTTTAATGTACCTGTCAAGATTTTTTTTTTTAATTTATGAGACACTTTTGCAGAGTTTGAAATTGCAGATACAGTTTATCTATTGACTTTTAAAAAAATACTTTTTTAAATAATTTTTTCAAAGCTTACCAGCTAATATAAAAAAAATTTTTGAATTTGTACCAGCATAAATACGATTACCAGTATTCACAGTAATCTGGTATAAATAGCTATCTTCTGGAGAATTATCAGGAAGTGGACAAACACCATACTATAAAAAAAAAAGAAGCAGAAAAATGTATTACAAAAAAATACTATAAAAAAATAGCCAAGATATTAAAAAAAAAAAAAAAAAAAGGATACAACTCAGAATAAAATTTAAGATCAACCTGAAAATAATTTGTTTACAAATTATTTCAACCTGAAATAATTTGTTTGAAATAATTTTTCACTCTGTAATTTGAATCACATAAATTAATAAAAAATAAGGTTAACTACTGTTATAATTACTATACTATCATAAATAATTTTATGTGATGGGTACTTTGACAATGTTTTGCTAATGGATTTAAACACTATTGTGATTTTCCTCATTGTTTTATTCTTTTTTTCCCCGAGCAATGTATTTTTTTTTAGTCTGGATTGGTTCATCTTGATCTGCTTTAGGAAAAGTTATTTATATTATGCAAAGTTAGCAGCGCATAAAACATTGATGGCATCATACTGAAATAGCAATCTGTATTGTGGGTAGGGGTTTTTGTTTGGGGGATGCAATTTCTATTACAAAGAGCATTTGTTTTATTGAAACAAATTAGTATTGAAACAGTATACTCTGCTAATCAGATTAAACATTAGTTAATTTTTAGATATATTTGGGTAGAAGCAAAAAGTAGTCGTTAATGATCATACATCAGACAAATGTCATATAATCATATATATGTCATAATCATATATGTGTCATAATCATGCATCAGAAGATTATAATCATATATATATATGTCATAATAATATATATGTCATATATATATGTCATATAATCATATAATATATGTCATATAATCATATATATGCCATAATCATACATTAGAAGGTTTTCACCAGACAAAATAATTAACTACTTCAAACTATATGCAAATGACATAAAAATTATTGAAATCCTTAGGCTTCCTAAAGATGAGGACTCTATGCAAGGGGATCTAGATAAAGTTGTTAAATGTTCTTAAAATTTGTATATGCTATTTAATGTTGATAAATATGATGAATTTAGGTCAATATGAAACAAAATCAACTCAAGACTTTTCAATCTTGTCAAACAATGATTTACGCGTTTAAATCTTGTCAAACACTTTATCTATCACTATTATTGAAAAAGACCTTGAGATAATGGTGAAAAAGACCTTGAGATAATCTTGAAAAAGACCTTGAGATAATCTTGAAAAAGACCTTGAGATAATCTTGAAAAAGACCTTGAGATAATCTTGAAAAAGACCTTGAGATAATCTTGAAAAAGACCTTGAGATAATCTTGAAAAAGACCTTGAGATAATCTTGAAAAAGACCTTGAGATAATCTTGAAAAAGACCTTGAGATAATCTTGAAAAAGACCTTGAGATAATGGTGAAAAAGACCTTGAGATAATCTTGAAAAAGACCTTGAGATAATCTTGAAAAAGACCTTGAGATAATCTTGAAAAAGACCTTGAGATAATGGTGAAAAAGACCTTGAGATAATCTTGAAAAAGACCTTGAGATAATCTTGAAAAAGACCTTGAGATAATGGTGAAAAAGACCTTGAGATAATCTTGAAAAAGACCTTGAGATAATCTTGAAAAAGACCTTGAGATAATCTTGAAAAAGACCTTGAGATAATCTTGAAAAAGACCTTGAGATAATCTTGAAAAAGACCTTGAGATAATCTTGAAAAAGACCTTGAGATAATCTTGAAAAAGACCTTGAGATAATGGTGAAAAAGACCTTGAGATAATCTTGAAAAAGACCTTGAGATAATCTTGAAAAAGACCTTGAGATAATCTTGAAAAAGACCTTGAGATAATCTTGAAAAAGACCTTGAGATAATCTTGAAAAAGACCTTGAGATAATGGTGAAAAAGACCTTGAGATAATCTTGAAAAAGACCTTGAGATAATCTTGAAAAAGACCTTGAGATAATCTTGAAAAAGACCTTGAGATAATGGTGAAAAAGACCTTGAGATAATCTTGAAAAAGACCTTGAGATAATCTTGAAAAAGACCTTGAGATAATGGTGAAAAAGACCTTGAGATAATCTTGAAAAAGACCTTGAGATAATCTTGAAAAAGACCTTGAGATAATCTTGAAAAAGACCTTGAGATAATCTTGAAAAAGACCTTGAGATAATCTTGAAAAAGACCTTGAGATAATCTTGAAAAAGACCTTGAGATAATCTTGAAAAAGACCTTGAGATAATCTTGAAAAAGACCTTGAGATAATCTTGAAAAAGACCTTGAGATAATCTTGAAAAAGACCTTGAGATAATCTTGAAAAAGACCTTGAGATAATCTTGAAAAAGACCTTGAGATAATGGTGAAAAAGACCTTGAGATAATCTTGAAAAAGACCTTGAGATAATCTTGAAAAAGACCTTGAGATAATGGTGAAAAAGACCTTGAGATAATCTTGAAAAAGACCTTGAGATAATCTTGAAAAAGACCTTGAGATAATCTTGAAAAAGACCTTGAGATAATCTTGAAAAAGACCTTGAGATAATGGTGAAAAAGACCTTGAGATAATCTTGAAAAAGACCTTGAGATAATCTTGAAAAAGACCTTGAGATAATCTTGAAAAAGACCTTGAGATAATCTTGAAAAAGACCTTGAGATAATCTTGAAAAAGACCTTGAGATAATGGTGAAAAAGACCTTGAGATAATCTTGAAAAAGACCTTGAGATAATCTTGAAAAAGACCTTGAGATAATCTTGAAAAAGACCTTGAGATAATGGTGAAAAAGACCTTGAGATAATCTTGAAAAAGACCTTGAGATAATCTTGAAAAAGACCTTGAGATAATGGTGAAAAAGACCTTGAGATAATCTTGAAAAAGACCTTGAGATAATCTTGAAAAAGACCTTGAGATAATCTTGAAAAAGACCTTGAGATAATCTTGAAAAAGACCTTGAGATAATCTTGAAAAAGACCTTGAGATAATCTTGAAAAAGACCTTGAGATAATCTTGAAAAAGACCTTGAGATAATCTTGAAAAAGACCTTGAGATAATCTTGAAAAAGACCTTGAGATAATCTTGAAAAAGACCTTGAGATAATCTTGAAAAAGACCTTGAGATAATCTTGAGATAATGGTATTAGATGATCTGATTAGATGATCTGTAATTTTTAGTAGAAATGGCGGTACCAAATGCTAACTGCTCAGTAAATTTGAAAAAGCCTTTTGTAGTCAGGATATAAATCTTTTGCAAATATTGTATTTGACTTATACTCAACTTCATTTGGAAATTGCGGTACAAGCTTGGTTGCCTCACCTTAAGAAAGCAAATCTTCAGAAAACTAAGCTTCAAGCCACTAAGAGATTTAAGACAACTACGTCTATAATAAACACTTGACTTATGATAAATATATGCTAAACTGCCAGCCTTGTACCACAACTCTAGAACAGCGGAGAATTAAAGAAGACCTTTTTGAGCAGTTTAAAACATTTAAAACAAAAAATAATTATGATGTAAACTTTTTTGTACATTTGACTCTTATTTTCGTTTTTTTTTTAAAAAAAAAAAAATCAGATTTACTCCCAACAAGGCAATTAAGTTAGGAAAACAAGAAATTGAAGAGTTAAAGAACAAGAAAACGACAGAAGTCTTGAAAAATTGTAGATTGTATGAGTTAGAAGAACAAGAAGCTGGGAGAGAAATCCAAATGGTTGAAGTGCAGGGAATAAAACTAGACAAATAAAAATATTTAGAGCACAAAGGGCCAGATACTGAAAAAGGATAAGACTTTGGTGAATGAGGAATCAAACAAGAATAAGTTTTGGTTGATGAAACTAGAACTGATAGCTCTTTTGATCAGTGACCATGATAGTATTTGTAAAATAGAAAAAGAGACTTTATGATAATGAGGCTCAGCTTGGCAGATAAAGCAGGTCCAACTAAGTTTACAATGCATTTTTGGACCTTGTCTAGAAGAAAAAAAAGCATCAGTAGAAGAAGCAGCCCAAATATGACAACAGTATTCCATACAGGGGCAAATAAGAGACTTATAGAGGTAGAGAATGGAATCAGGAGAGAAAAAATGACAAGCACAATAAAGAGAACCAACCTTACCAGATCCTAAATTAACGATCCAATGTATATATGGTTTCCATGAAAGGTCAGTAGTAAATGATAATCCAAGAAGAGGATTCAGTGATAGAGTAGCCATTCATTAATATAGAAATGTCAACAATATTGGAATAGTTGTTTGCAGTAAATAACTAAGTTTTGTTGGAGTTGAAATTTACAAGTTACTGCAAGCTATTACAGAAGAGAGATCAGATTCAAAATGGCTGCCTGTTCTAAGCAATCAAAACAAAAAGACTTTTTGTTAAGACAGGAGTATAAAGTTGAGTCACCAGCATATAAAACCACTTTAGATGTAAGGTTGTTAGGAAGATCATTAATGTAGATAAGAAACAAAACAAGACCAATGATAGAATCTTGAGGTACCCTGGAAGTTACTGGAAATGAAGAAGAGTGTTGGCCTTCAAGAATGACTTTAATAAAGTAGTTAAAAAATAAAAAGATTTTATAATCTTAAAAACTTTTCCAGATATACCATTTAAAGCAAGCTTACAAAGAAGACCCAATTGCAAAACCTTATCAAAAGCTTTAGATATATCAATAGCAAAAGCAAAATTAAAGAGGGTTCTGAAGAACACTTTTGTAAGACTATAACAAGAATATTGTCTGGCCAACAAGCCATAGAAAAGTTTAACTGAGATATGATATTAGAAACGGAAGCTGGAGTGTTTCGAATGTTTAACAATTGGTTAACCTGTTTAACTGGAGTGAAAAGAAGAGTATGGCTATAAGATTCAAGAGTCAAATTTAAAGAAAGGTTCTTTGCAAATAGCTCAGCCTTATCCTTGGGAGACATAATAAGATCAGTCCTATGAATGAGAATTGGAATTTTAGATCTATCTTTGTTAAAGTTGCTGTTAAAGATTTTCCAAAAGTCTAGAGAGCCAAACTTATGAGAAAAGATAAAAGATTTAGATAAGGTCTTAGCAGCAGACAGCACCTTTTTGAA